GTTAAACTTTTCTTCATTGTGTCGATTTCTTTAGTGAACTTTTGTTGCAGATCCTGGAGGCTTTTTGTGGTTTCTTTGTGTTGGTTAATGAGTTGTTCTTGCAGGTCATTGAATTTTCTGATGATCCACATTCGAAATTCCTTTTCTGTCATTTTGGTTGCCTGATTTTGGTTGGTGTCTGTTTCTAGGGGGCTGGTGTTCCTCTTTGGGGGGGTGTTTTCCATTTGGTTCTTCATATTTCCTGTGTTCCTTCACTGATTTCTTCCCATGTCGATCAGTTGTTGTTTCTTTCCTTTAGGTTTTTGTTTGGGTATTCACACATGTTGTTTAGTTTCTGAGCCGGTAGGTGGTGTCTGTGGGTGAGATTCGAGCATTCCCGCTCACTGGTGGTGGCCATCGCTGGGCTGGTGTCTGCAGGTCTCTCCACCTGCTGGGGAGCCCACCAGCAGTCTGAGATGCAGGGGAAGGATAATAGCTTATCCACCTACCCTTCCTGCTGGTCTCCAGGCTGCTCTGGCGGTCTCAGCTTCCAGTTCTCCTCTGAGACTTCCTCCTGTGGAGTCTCCCGTAGTCTCAGGTACTCCTCCTTCTGACCCTCATCTGACGTAGGCTCGTCTTCTTGCTTCTTTCTTCTAATTTCTGCTAGAATCTATCTTTACTGCAGAGACACTCTGTCTGGCGGTGTTTCTCATCTGCCATCTTGATTCCAGCCCTCAATGGTGCTTTGATCAAAACTGTGGGCCCCCCAGTCTGTAAGAGACAGCTGGATTCAAATTTCTTCTGATCTTTTTACATGGCAAACTTTAGTTGATCTGATAGGTAACCTAATTAGGTCTGTGGATCAAAGTTTTAGGTAAAGAAGTTTTCCGTAGCACTCCCTTAAGGGTAGATTCATGCATTCATTCTTTTCTTCAACAAATATTTGGTTAGCACTGACTCTGTGCAGGTCACTGTGTCAGGCATCTGACATCAGGAATAGAACACGGCAGCCTCCTAGCCGTGCTCTCTGGAGCACTTTGTGCAGAGGGGTTTCTATATCTACAGATAAACCATGAATAAGTGCACAAGTGAGACAACTTCCAGAGCCACTAATACTATGAAGAAAATAAAATGTGGTGGAGACAGAATGAATGGCAGGAAGAAGGTGGGAGGAACTATTTGAGCAGGAGGCGAGCAAACGCTGGCCAAACATGCACATGTCTGGGGGACGGTATTTCAGTCATAGGAGTGCCTGCTGCACAGTCCCCACAGCAGGAGGGCTCATCGTGCTGGGCGAAGACAAGGGAAGCCACTGGGGTCGAAGTGTGGGGGTTAAGGGACAGAATGATCTGAGGTGACGTCAGAGAAGCAGGCAGGGCTGAGGTTACAGGTCTGGGAGGAGGTGGGAGTGTTATCTCCTCCACCCGAGGTGGACTAAGCAGCAGACAGATACTATCTGCTATCTGCCTACACAGATAGGGATGTTAAAGGATCCTTCTGGTCACTCTCTAATGCCTCCATGGGCTGGGGATGGGGCATTAATAAGAGGGGCCCTGAAAAACCCATTGTGGGGAATTTGGGATCTGGTTTCAGGAAGAGCTACCATCCTGCTGACGGGTTAGACATGGGAGGTGAGGAGAGAGAAATGGAAGGAAAGGAAGAGTGACAGGCTGTGTGCTTGAGAAATTTTACATAGATGGTGATAGAGTTAACTGGGATGGATAAACAGAAAAGCAGCAAGTCGAGGTGGGGGTGTTAAAATCAAAAGCCACAGTAAGCATGTGAAGTTTGGGGTGCCTATCAGACAATGAACAGGGAGACCGCACAGGTACACACAGCCTTATCTATGATTCCAAAATCCACACCGCTCAGAAAACCAAACGGTGCTGCATAACCCATTTATTAGCAAATTCTGACCTACTATGAAATGAGGCTATTTACAGATTTTTTTAATCCCTCTTAGGGTGAATATCCACATTTTCATTTCAGGAACATCAATATGCTTGACTGCAGAATGCTACCATAGATCCTCCTGGATGTATTAAATTTATGTATTAAATGTATTAAATTTATGCAATTCAAAAATTCTGAATTCCAAAACACACCTGGCACCCAGAGTTTCAGGTAAGAAATTATGACCCTAAAGGTAGTTGGAAATATAGGTCTAGAGCTCCAGGAAGAGGCTGGGGGCCTGGGGCCTAAGATAACCAAAGGCATTTAAAGCCTTGAGATCAGACATCACCCTGGGAGACACTGTGCAGTCTATCGACATGTAGAGGGTGTGCAGAAGAGGTTCAGACTCTCGCTCTGATTTCACAGAAGTGGACACTGCAGCTCCGGGAGGGAAAGGGGTTTGTAGATGGCTGTGTAGGAAAGGCTCCGAGTTCCGGGCCCCAGTTCAGGCCCCAGGCCTGAAACCCCTGTGGGCTGAACCCGCGGGATCTGAGCAAATGGGCTCTAGGTTCTAAATCCCGCACAGGCCTGGTGTGGTGGCCCCTGCTGCCACAAATCACTCATTTCCTCCCTCCCTGAGCTGCCAGCTGTCCCGTAGGTGCCATGCACCACGTGGAGTTGGAATCAGCTATTTCTAGTTGGTTGCTCCCACCAAATTGCACACTGCCTGAGGGCAGAGATTGTGCCTTAATCTTCTTTGCATTTCTCTGAACCATGTACATCATAGAAACTCAGTAAATATGTGTTAACGTGTCCTGAAATCCCACAAGTGTTCAAATAAATGCAGGGCGTCCTCAACCGTATCAAGTCAGCCAACAGAGAAGTCTGAAGCAACAAGAAAGGCACAGACTGCTGACCCCTGCTGGGCTGAGCCCTCCCCAAGTGCTACCCGAATGAGCCACAGAGGGCTTCTGTGTCCGCCCCGGATTCATTACTTCTTCACAGCAAGCTGAAACCCATAAGTTCCAAAGCCTGCTGGAGCCACACTCAAATTTTTACACATCCATTTGTTTTAAACACAGCCCAAATAAGCAGATTGCTAGCCATGTAGAGCCTGTTTGCTTTGCATACTCTGCAAAACTGCACCCAACATCTGCTAGCCACAGATAAGATAAACCCCAGAGCTATTGAAACCCTAAGCTGCTGCTGCTGCTGCTGCTGCTGCTGCTGCTGCCCTTTGGAGCTCTCAGACATGCGTGGCTGCTGAGCGACCTTACCTGGGGGATCATGACCCCTGCCAGATGCCCCTCCACCAGGGGTTCCCTTGCTTTCTTCCTCCTCTGGCTGGAAGCCCCCACACCACAGTTTGTAGATGTCCTCCTGCATGAGGGTGTCCTTGCATGCAAATCTGTCAAGGCGTCTCCCAGACAGAGCTTGTGTGTGCTGCTGCGTCCCCGTGGTCAGATCCTTTTGCTGGGTCAGCCCCAAATCCCTCGCACCTCCTTCACCAAGGCTGCCAGGTCCCCACCCGTGGTCCCTACACAGAAGCTCCCAGCCAAGAACTGGGCTGGGACCAGATCTTAACCCCACAGCAGTGAGCAGCTCTCACATTTGAAGGAGAGCATATACTTTACAAGAGCTTCTCGTGTCTTTCCAATAGTCCAGACCGTTACACTCACGCTGCAGACGAGCAGGATGCGGGTCTGTCCGTCGCACGTGTTCTGAACACCTCCTGCAGGCCAAGCTCTGACCAAAGGCTTAAGGAGTCCCAGCCCAACTGGGACACTGACGTTTAAACAAGTCCTTTCAACTTGTGATGCTTGGATCTTAAGGGATGAAATATGCAGAGGATAGGATGTCTGAACAGAATTCTGCGTAGAAGCATGTGCCAGGAAATGTGGGTGGGAAGGGCATTGCCTGTGAGCCCAGGGGGACCCTTGCAGATTTGGGAGGCTGCAGGTGGCTGCTGCTGGTGGGAGGAGAAGGCAGTATGTGCCATGCATGGGAGCACCCAAGTCCTGAAGACCCTCGCTGGCCAGACCAGGGGTTGGAGCATCTGTAGGTTTTTGACAAGGGAAAATGACTATGTGTGTGCTTAAATCTGGGAGTGGTATGGTGGCTCAGGCCTTCAGAGGTCTCTCTCTGGCACTCCATGTGTGTGGAGATGTCAGGTCCACCGTCTGTCCAGGGTCCGGGGCCTCCGTGCTGCCCAGGCCATGGGGGTGCACAGGTCAGATCTCTGCAGCTGCAGGACACTTGCAGTGCCCACCTGCCAGCTCCTGCTCGGCACCCAGTCAGCTTATGGGGACCAAAAAAAGTCCAGCCTTACTCACTGTCACTGGTACAGGGCGAGGAGAGGCCAGAGCAGATGAGCTTGGGGAGCCCCCAGGCCCCAGCTGTGCAAGCATGACCCAGTTTCAACGCAGGTAATTTCCAGAAAAGGTGGCTTCCTGGAGTTCAGGGACCAACATTTGACCTGACCCCCAGTCCCTTCCACAAAATAGAGACTGTTTGGTAGAGGGAACGTTTTCTCCTCCTGTGGTTTTATTGGAACAATTCACTGCACGCCTGCCTCTGGCTGCTCTCCTCAGGCCCCTGGGCCTTGGGCCACTCCTGTGCCCTGTCATGCAAGGCCAGGCCACCCAAACAGTCCTGGGTCACTGTTGTGGGCTGGCGTTTCCCGGAAACAGCCATGCACGCTGGTCCGTGTGAGGAGGTGACTAGTGGGAGAGAGGAAGGAAGCAGGGCCGTACCACAGGAATCAAGACAAACAGAAGTGTCATGTAGGGACACTGTGCCCACATCCACCGGGCCCTCCACAGCAGAGCTGAGGAACGAGAGGTTCCAAGAGAAGCAAGCCCTCACGGCCCGGATTCCCCTGTGAAGGGAGCCTCGCGCCTTCCTGCCTGGCTAGAGGTGGGTGAGCTCGAAGCTGCAGAGGCAGCCTGGGGAAGTGGGGCCTGCGGGGAGACACTCTGGGAGTGCACCCCAGGGTCTGGGGCTGAACTCAGCGTGGATGCCAGCGCATGCCTCTGGCCTGAAGATCTCCGAAGGCAGAATACTTACCAGAGCGTGATGACGGCGAGCTGAAGCGACAGCCGAGGCCGCCCAGGTCTCCCTGCTCCTTGGAAGGCAGAGTCAGACCTGGCAGTTCCCAGGTTCATGTCGGGGAGTCTCAGGGCTTAGAGGAAGAGGAGGCAAGAGCTGTGAGGAATCCCAGGTGGCTGCTGAACCCAGGCAGGTGAAACCCGACCCAAGAGAGATCTGGGACATCGGCCCTGGCAGGGCTAAAGGGAGCGGGGATGTCCCCTCTTAGGGAATCTCCAAAGTGGAGACGTCTAGGGCACGGCTGACAAGTGAGGTATTAACCGCCCTTTGTTCTGGGCTATCTTTTCAAGGATGCTTAGATGAGGAACGGCCTTGAACGGAAGATGGCAAACATCCAGAGCAAAAGGTAGGCAAACTCACTGTCCACTAAAATAAAGATGATGTCTCACTCCAGAGCAAAGAGTAGGCATGTCTGCACTCATTTTAAGAGATCTGGGTTCCAAAGTTTAGGGTTCCTTTCTTATAACACAGCCCACTGCACATGCAGGTGTCACCTGGCCTTCTGCATATTGACCTATGAGAACCGAGCTCAGAGAATAGCCACAGAAATGCCGGTTCTCTGGCTATCACCACCGCTGTGAGGAATAAACTGTATCTCTGACCCAGAAGTCTCCTGTCTTTTACTGGCATCCATGAAACTCAGGCAAGCTAACATGCTAGCTTGTAGCTGGGACAAAATCTCAAAGCCTTCACAGTTCTTGGCACTAGCCGCCCCTCTCCCCAGAGGTGTTCAGGAGGGGAAGAGCCACCCCAGAACCAGGCTGCACCCCTGCGCCAGGACAGGGGAGAGAAGCAAACGGGCAGAGCCTGGGCCTGCCAGGCCTGGCTGCTCTGGGAGGGGCCTCGGATCGGCTCCCGCTGGAGTTCCACGCTGCTCTGGGCTGGCTGTGATGCTGTGAAGACCTAGGGAAGGGTGATCCGAGAGCTCAAAGCAGCGGTGAGGAGGGAACAAATCTGACCACAGGAATTACGCCCTGCTGATCCGAGATGCTGCACCCAGCCTTGTCCCAGACCAAGCCGTCCACTAAGGGAGCCCCGCAGACCCACACTCAGTGTGCCCCGCAGCTGTGCGCTCGGCCCCTTCCTCCCCACCGAAACCCTCCACTCTGCTCCTCGTTGAGGCCCGCACAAGGACGAAGCCCTTCTCCCTCCCTCCCTCCATCCCTCCTCCTTGGGAGGCAGAAAGTTCATCACTCAGAGCAGGAGGGGTCTTCGGGGTCAGGGCCCTCCCTGGGAACGAGCAGCCCCGCCCTGTCCTGTGCACTCAGCCTGCCCCAGGGTTCTTCCCAGCCCAGAGTGACTCCAGCAGGAGGTTGCTGCTGTCCCTCCACCCTGACCTCTTCCGCACTCTGCTCTCAGGCAAAGCCCCAGGTGACGGTGACGTCACCAGGCCTCAGACTCTCCTGAATGCACCCCATGTTCTAAAACGTAGGGACATTCTCTTGTGTACCAAGCACTTTCTTACGGCTTTATACTTACCACTTTTACCCTCACAAAAACCCACAGTGGTGTAGACTAGCCTTACCCTCACTTTGCAGATTAGGAAACTGAGGCACTAACTAGTGAGGTGATCAGGCAGAGGCACACGGTTGGCAGCGCCAGAGGAAATGTGGGGACCTGAGGCCTGTGCTCTTCCCCGCCACAGCACAGGCTGCCTCCGCACGGCCAGGACGCCTCATTGCGGCGGGCCCTGAGCGTGCTGCTGCTCTTTGCAATGTATCCAGCAGTCCAACGCCCCAAGGCGCTGGCACAGGACAATACCATGGGATCTGGAGTCCCCTTTCTTGCCAGTTCTATGGGACGTCAGGGTCCCCATCACATGTCATCCGGCCAGGCTGCTGCTCCAACCTCAGGGACAACCTGCCCAAGCCTCTGGGCCACAGACCATGGCAGTGCCCACTCCTCGCCTTGCCACTCAGGGCCCCCCGGCCAACCCCACCTCACCTGCATCCCTTTGCGAGGGGCTTGCTCCTGCTGCCAGAGCACAGAGGTGCCGGGGAGGAATTCCCCCAGCGGTCCCCGGCCAGTGACAGGAGGTGCTGCCCCGCACCGGCTCCCGCGCCCCTGGGCGGGGAACTCTGCAGAGCCTGAGGCCAGCGTGTTCTGCCAGGGTACTGGCTCTGGCCTCAAAGTTCCCCAGAGGGAGCGAATCCAGTGTGAACTTGCTTGATAACCAAGTTCCTTCCCTTCAGGGTCGCCCCTCCCATGTCCTGCCAGTGGCGCCGGGATCACATTGCTCCCAGAGTCCATTCTCTGTCTCGGGGTCTGTTTCTGTGGAGCCCAAGCAAAGGCAGCCTGACTCTCCGCCTCCCGCCAGCCGGAAGAGAAGTGGCCGCTGCCCCATCTGTCCCCTTCAGGCCCCTCGCCCCACTGTCCTGCAGCTCCGCTGCCCAGCTCCTCCCAAGCCCCTTCGTGGAGAGGGCCCTGGCAGCCCACCCTCACCCTCCTGCTGCCCCAGGAAGAGCCCGCGAGATGGAAGGGGAGACTGAGGCACAGGACGATATGGTGGCCGTGTGGGGTGGGAACCGGCCAGAGCTGTCCCCACCGTCCACCGTCCATCCGTCCCCCCACCACAGGGCAGGAGGCGTGTCGGGGGCTGCTGGGACCTGAGTCTCCCTGCCCAGCGTCTCTGGCTCCTGAGAGCACGGGAGACATTTCTCCCTCTTGCCCGCTGCCCGTCCCACCTTTGCAGCCGGCCCGGCGAGCAGCGTCCCAGAGCACGCGAGGGCAGAGGTGCCATCGTCCTTCCCGCCAGCGTGCTGCGATTTGTGGGGACAGATCAAAACCTGGGTAGGATTTTTCCCCTTCTGTCACTCCCGGTACCTTAAAAATCTCTCACCTGATTTGTTTTGTAAACTTGCATTTCACTTGATCGTTTCGGCCGGCTGTCGTAGCCGCTGGGGCTCTGCTGCGTTCCGTCCGCTATTCCGTGGGGCTCGCGCTCCCTCCCGGCCTAGTGTTCTGCCCGAATTCGGCCGGCATGCCATGGCGCCCAATCCTCACAGCGCGGGCGGGTGCGCTGCCCTGGTGCTCGCGGGGAGCCCTCCGCCGGGGAGCCCTCCGCCGGGGAGCCCTCCGCCAGCCAGGCGGTCCTCCGCTGTCCCCGCCGGCGCTGCGGTCACAGCTCTGTGGGCGTGGTGGCTGAGGGAGCTGCTCCAGCTGCATCGAGCTCTCCCGGCCGTCCACGCAGCTCCCTGCCCCGGCTCCGCGTGCGGCGCCTCTCCGAACCCCGGCCTCCCCGCTGTGCAGTGAGGACAGTGGCACCTGCTGCTCACTGTGTGTGTGCACATGTATGTGTGTGCATGCGTGTGCATGTGCGCGCATGCGTGTGTGCCCACGGGAGCAGGGGTGTGAGAAGGGGCGCTGTGCACAGCAAGTAGACCCCGGAGCTGGGACAGAGGAGACGGTCAGCACACGTCCACTTCTTCCCCATGTCTCCAAACTGAGGATGACGCGCACTGCGGGCCTGGGTGAGTCTTTCTGCCTCTGCGACAGCAAATGTGGTAGTTCGGGAGACCACTGGAAGGGCAGGGATTTGTCACTTCCCTCCCAAAAATGTCCCAGGCATGAACCAGCCCTGACCAGGCCCATTTACAGAGACATGCAGTTCTTAGGGCAATTTCCAAAGTGGACCATTATAAAAGGTGCTCCGTGAAAGGGCCCCTCAGTGTTGCCCCTTCCAGCAGCCCCGGCAGCTCACCACGCGCGGCACGCAAGGCGCGGCACGCAAGGCGCGGCACGCAAGGCGCGGCACGCAAGGCGCGGCACGCAAGGCGCGGCACTCGCTCTAACCGCCAGCAGGTCGATGTCCACAGCCCCGTGCAACCAAGCTCTGGCCAATGGAACATGTGCAAGTGTCAGGGTATGTCCTTAAAAGAGGGGAATGCCCTCCCCTCCTCCTCTCCCCTTCCCTACTGTCCAGAATGTGGACTTGAGAGAAGGCGCTGGACCAGCCGTCCTCGCGACACAATGGCAGCTCCTGGCAACCAGAGCAGAAAGAGAGGAGTCTGGGTCCCCACGTTGTCAGGGGTGCCACAGCCCCGGGCCACCTGCCCGGGTGTCCACAAAGGAGGGAAATCAGTTCTAGCATATTAGGGCACGAGTTTTTACTCTGTATTTTTTTGTTACATCTGCCTAACCTGTATGACAACTATTACAGTAGGTGCTTAATAAACATTCATTGGCTGAATAACAAACTTTTGAAATGGTGAAATTATTCTAGATCAAAGTCATAAGAAGAATGAACTGTACCTTGTGTTAGAATTAACTTCAGGAAACTGACCTCTGGGATGGAGGAATGAAGGGCACAGTGGACTCTCCCCAGCAAACAACCATTCACCTGGAGAAAATTACAGAAACAATTATTTGGAGTCTGTGGAAACTGTGCTGACAGAATACAGCAAATGGAGAAGCATTTATTCAAGAAAATCTACTAAATCTACATAAGAAGAGGGAAAGTCTATGGACACAACTAGCTCTGTCTTAGAGAAACCACTCTAGGACCTCGAACCCAAGTGGGTACTGCCAAGAAGGTGGGGCTCCCCGTCCAGTCTAGGCTGTGCTTCCACTCTGGGGGGGCAGCCCACCAGCATTTCTCCTGGGTACAAAGCCCTACTTGAGGCAGGCGGGGCCCAGACCACAGGCTTCCTGCGCGAGCGTGCCTCTGTGTTCTGGTGTTTGGACATCTGGGAAGCCTGCTCCTGCCGGCTCACCGGTTCCTGGAGATAGTGAGCGACTCGCTGCTGCCAAATGTGGGTTTCGTTGTTACTCAGGTCTGGTGAGATCAGGAGATGGTCGCCACTAAAAGGACGGTCTGTCCCCAGAGGAAGGGCACCCTACACTGCACACAGAGCCACACGGGAAACACCAGCGTTGGTCAGGAGCAGGGAGACGTGGACAGGAGCCTTTCCTGTGCTTCCACGCCAAGGTATGGGGGCGAGGCTTAGGAACGGTTAGTTTGAATAATTAACTCCGAGGGGATCTGGCCCTAGCGTATCAGGTCAAGGGAACATCGGCCCGAGGGTAAGAGTCCCACAGAGCAGCTGGGGTCCCCGGATTGACTGGCTGCTGTGACAGGTTCTTCACTGTCTCTGGGAATCAGCTGCCCAGAGAAGCAATCTCCCCAGAGTTACTAAGGCCCGGGATGTCAAAATGTCAAAATAAAAAGGCGTGCTTAGCACAACTGGCCCGGTGAGGTGCTGGCATCTGTTAAGGAACCTTACGGTGACAGTGGGGACTTTTAGAGTGTGAGGCCTGAGCGGCTGCAACGGACAGGAAACATGCGGCAGGAGAGCAGACGCTGCCGCGAGGCTGTGTCATAAGGAGTTGTCGCAGGCCGGCTCCTACATAACTACCTTCTCGTACGCCATTAGCCAAGAACACACATCTGAGATTTCCAGGGTCTCTAACAACACCCAGTGCAGCTGTGAAACGCGCTCAAGTACGAGCTTGTCCGCCTTGGTGCATCTCTCAGGTCACGGCGGCAGGTCCGTAGTCATGTTGTTGGAGGGCGTGACCGGATGGTTTGGTAAAGTGTACATAAAGATTGGTGGCATTTGTGTGTGACCAAGGGCAAGGGTGGTTGTGGGGGCCACAGTGGAGAGGCAGGGCCGGAGGTCACCTACAGGGCTGGAGGTGGGAGTAGAAGGCATGGGGAGGGGTGGTCCTCTCGCCAGCGCCGAGGGGTCCACTGACATCAGACAGGCCCCTCCTGGGGAAAGCAATAGTGCCCACTAATTTCTAGAGCGGCCCAGGTAGTAGCACCCACCAGGTCTCCCTTCAGGCATGGATTGTAGGGGTCTATGTCTGGCAGAGAGCAAAGAGGATCTGGCAGGATCACAAGCTAAGCAGATAGTGAGATTTGGAAACACAACAGAATCCCTGATCTCAAAGGAAAAAAGCAATGAGTGTCCCACATCCAGTCCGTCCGCACCTCAGGAGAGGCGGCCCGTGGACCCTGCTGAGGCGGAGGTTTCCGTATCCACTACTATTGTCTTGTCCTGGGGTCAAAGTCACCTCCAAGAGCGAGGTCCCGGGCTGGGCTGCCGTCATCTCCGGCCGTGAGCTTGGGGCGATGCCGGCTGTGGTCTGGAGGGCCCGCGCGCCCAGAGATCAAAGCTCCGCAGAGGCTGTGACGCAGAGACACCCTGTGTCCACAGGGGCCTTTTATTTTTCCCTCCTGCATCTAGGATGTTATTTTTTCCTCTTTTTCTTTTTTTATTTCATTTTATTTTCTGTTTTAGGCTTTCAGAGGTTTTAGAGTGAAGCTTTGGCAATTACAGGAAAGGGGGGAGGGGAAAGGCCGGGGTTTGTCCTTGCCGGGCTCTGCAGCCACCCCACCCCCACCCCCAGCCGGGACTGCTGCTGCACCCACAACCACAGCGCTCTCCCCAGCTGGGCACCAGCCCACTCACCAGCCCAGCCTGAAGTATCCGTCCCTTGACTTTTCTTTTTTCTCTTTCTTCTTTTTAAACAAAATCTGTTATAATGGCCTGTACCTCTAGGTGGATAAAATCCCCGCCTCTTTTGTTGTTGTTGTCGTTATCAGTGATGGTGTCTGCTGTCTGTCCCAGACCACTTTTCCTTGTTCTTTTCTCCTTTGAGTGTTTCAACTGACAAACTCCTGGTGGTGCCCTGTAGCTTGTCCAGAGGCAACAGCCCCCGCTCTAGACTGTCCCCATGGACCTCTGGCAGGGGTGGGGTCTGGATCTAATTCCAGGAGAACAATAGGGGTTTTATCAGTATTTTTGAATTCTGGGTTTTGAGGCCCTTGACAAGCTGGTAAACAGTGGTGTTCAATTACAGCCATGTGTTATCCAAGCATTTCAAATGACCTTCAGGGGGCTTGGGTGGGGCAAGGATAAAATGTTCTCTCCTCTTTCCATTTTCATTAAGTATTATGCCATCAATCCCATGTGTGTTGGTAAATTAAGTTGAGCCTAAAGCTGCCTCCTTACATATTTTAGGTTCAGGCTAAAAGTTTCTTTGTACTTATGTTACTGCACCAAACTGGGGTCCACTCGCCTGGTGCAGTAAAGCCAGATGCTGATGCCTTTGCAGGGAGAGAAACTGGCATTTATTGCATGGTGCCAAGCAAGGAGAAGGGACAGCTAATGCTTAAGACCAAAACTCCCTGATGAGACGTATAAGCAAGGATTTTTAAAGACAGGGACACATTCCCGGAAATCAGAAGTTGCAGGCAACACCATAAGTCAATACGTGAGGTTACACGTGGGTTTGGCCCACAAAGGTGGGATATCTTGAAGATGGTCTTACAGGGCACAAGAAGATTCAGAGAATCCTTGATTCGCAGTTGGTTAAGGAAGCAAGGCCTTGTCTAAACACTTGGGGCCAGTGGAAAGGAACGTTAAGGTCTGGCCTGTGGATGTGACCCTCTCCGGGTCCTTCAGTGGGGAATTTAGAGCCCAGAAGCATGGTCAGAGTTCATTCCTCACTTCCACCAAGGTCTGCGTGACAGTGGTCAGCATTTTCCACTTGGTAGGAGGTTCTGAAAAGCAAGGTTCCATGGGGAACCAGAACACCTCGTGACTCTGGCTTCCTTGGGAATGACTGTAACCACCTTCTTGCTTTTCAAGCTGCCCATTTCCTTCTCAAGACTAGCCAGGTGCCTGGATTTCCCTTGAAGGGACTCAAGAGTTTTCCTTTATTTCCATGCTTGGGGGGCCCAGCATCCCCCTAAGGGGATTCCTGCTCCATCTCACTTAATGAAGTGTAGCCTACCGGGATGTGTATACAGACTGCAGCCTCTTCTTGCACCGGTCACTGGGTTTTGGCCAATCACAAGTGACCAACTGTTCAAACTGTGTTCAAATAAGGAATACGCTGGGTTGTAAGCAATCACCGATTTCTGTGCCACACTTCCATTTTCTGCTACCCTTTCTCTTCCCTTTCTCTGTCCATAAACCCTCTCTACCACGTGGCAACAGTGGAGCCTCTCTGAACCTATTCTTGTTCTGAGGGCTGCCCCATTCACCAGTCATTCTTTGCTCGATCAAACTCATTAAATTTAATTTGTCTAAAGGTTTTCTTTGAACAGTGT